ACGAGGCCACATGATCCTTCGGATCCGAGGTCCCGTCATATGTGATGTGCGACGGTATTTTAACCGTGGGCACGCGCTCTTCCAGTATCCATTGCTCGAATGGTGAACTGGCGGGTAGCATAACGGCCTTGCCCTTGTTCCTGGCCGAAGGGACCGCGCTCCGCCCTCTTAGAGAGGTAGGAGTGGTTTTCGTCCCTGGCTGGGAAGTCTGGGCCTCGGCTGCTGGGAACGAGAGGCGACTGTGCACGCTCGGTTCCTTGCCGCCGAGTCGGTCGAGGACGCTTCGGCGAACAGTCTCAGGTTCTCGGTGAGTAGATTCTGGCCGAGAAGCTGAGCTGCTGCTCTTATGCGTTTCTGGTCGTGAGGATGAGGATCCTTTAAAAAATTGAGGGTTCTTTTTCCTCTCTTTTTCATTCTTCCAGGTATCCTCTTCCCACTCTTCCAGCTCCCGGAAGGAAGGAAGCTTCCCACCATCATTGTCTAACTTCCTCCGCTGATGCCGGGTATGCGGAGGAGTTCGATCACGAGGTGGTGGCATATTTTGTGCCCTCATCGCCTCCATGAGTACTGCCAGCGCTCTTGCCACCTCTTCCGAGCTGGGCCCCGTTAAAGGGGTCCTCGGCCGAGTATGGGAATGAGGGCGTACAGCCGATGGTTGGCTTTGGGGCACTGAATGTGTCCTATGATCGGACTCCCCCCTGCTAGACCGAGAGTGACTCAGCCTATGATGAGAGTCATGAATTACAAGAGAAAGGGAATCCTCCTTGTATGATCCTCCCCCCGAGCTGGCACCCTTGGGAGAGTTCCGGTCCGGCGAGGGTGATGGTGTAGGGATTTTAGGCTTTTCGCCCGCTCCTTGACGGAGGCTTTTGCTCTTGCGGTTCTTAGCCATTGCTACTAAGATAATTTCAAGATGATCTTGGTTAGAAATTTGGCTTAAAGATTTTTGAAAGTCTTCCCCACAGACGGCGCCAAATTGTTTCGGGTGAAAACAATGGGACCTTGCCGAAGGTCCGCTGAAACGGAGAAGACTGGATTCGGTCCAAGTTATGTTGGGCCGAAGGTTTCCTGCACAGTAAACACACGTAAACTAGCCTCGGGGGTGTTGCCGAGGAAGGCCCCTCCGATGCTAAAGTCAGTACAATGTGTAGAAAGAGAACACTATGCAAGAAAATTTGTTGCTTGAGGCTTTATTTGAGTATATGAGAAGATATGAATCTATGAATGTATATATGAATGTGAATTTTGATGGCTTTTATACCTCTTCATACATGGAGAAGTTGGGCCTTAGCCCAATTGGCTTGCTTTGAGGGCTGACCTTTGACTTTAACACAATTGGAGAGTTGAACCTTGACCTTGGGCTTTTAATTGGATCATTTAATGCCTAGGCCCAATTGGACTGAATTGGACCCAAACAAATACTAATAATTTTTTGGCTTTCACAAGTAATATCTAGTATTATTAATTAAGCTGGAATGTCAAATCATGAATATTAATTAGTCAATAGTCCTACAACATTTAAATTAAGAACCATTCGTCCCTGTGTCAAAAAAAAAAAAATCATTCGTCCCAACCTCTAATAATTAATTTATTACTCGATACTCGTACATTGTTGTCCCAACCTTTAATAATTAAGCATTCACATGATTTTACTAAAAGTGATCATGATTAATTTTATTTTTACGAGCTGGGATTATTCATCGGATATTCATTGATAAATAGCTAATTAATTTGAGGAAGGAATATAAGATAGCTAGCTAGCTAGTACATACACTTAATTTATCAACGTATTATATTTTATTAAACTATCTCCTGTCATCAAGAAAGATTTACGAGTTGTATTAACAGGAAAGCAATGTGATTATTTGTATAGTAAGGAGTTGAAAGGAAAACACGCATATGAGTTGTCCCACATAGTAATAAGAAGGATGATGATCTGACTTGATGAATAGCATAACACTTGTTAAGGTTTTTTTATTTTTTTATTTTTTTTATTTTTTGATTGACAAGCGCTCTTGTTAAGTTGTTAATGCATATTTTATGTCAATGTTATAGAAATTTATATTAAAAGGAATTCAACAACATTTATACTTAAAAATAAATAAATAAAAAATGTCTACTTGGACAGTAATTAGTAAAATGAGTAAACCACAAATATCACAATTATCCGAATATTTACCTGAACACATGTTCAACACGTGCTTGTTAGATGAGATAAACAAGTACTAAAATTAATCGAGCATAAATGGGAGATGCTAGGGTATACTTGGTTTACGAAAAAATCTTGTACACCAAGCTCTCTATTGGTTGAAAGGGAATCTTATTTTGAAGTGAGTCATCCCTCTTTTCCTTTTCCTCTTATCTTGGGTGAGTTGGCAACATTTCATTGGTGGTGTACAAAGAAATCTTGTACACCAAGTGTACCCCTACCCTTTCCCAGCAAAATATCCAATATACAGTGGCAGATGCACCGGCCATGTTTGGTTGACATGGGTTCCCAAAGGAAATTGCATTTCATGGGAAGTTATTTCCCTCAGGAAATTTCTAGGAATTTCCTAAATTTGTTTGGTTGGCAATGTGGGAATTTAGAAAACCCATGAATTTTGATTGACCTAGGGGAGGCTAGGTAATTTACTTCCCTTGTTTTGTAGGAAGTTGAAATTCCCATGAATTTTCACTTCCCTCAATTTTGTTTTTTTGTGTTAACCAAACAACTTCTCAATTTATCAAATCCCATGAATTTTCACTTTCCCCATTTTATGTTGTCAACCAAACAAGGCCCAAGTGGGGTCACTTGTACATTTTTAAAAAAATCCCTATAAATTAAGTTTTTTTTTTTTAATCTAAAATTGAGTGTTTTTTCCATAAAAATTACCTACTTAACCCCATTAAAATTAATTAAATGTATTTTGACCTCGTTAGATATTTAATCTGAATTCGCTAATGTCAATATATCTATGTTCACACTTTGGGTTTGTTTTGTATGCCTAAACAAAGACTTCAACCTATAGTTGACTTTTGACTTTTTGGCCCAAATAGGACAATATTTTATAAAGTTGATGGCAAACCAAATTGGCCCAACCACTAACTGATTAAAAGAATGACAACCTACACAAAAGATACGTATAAATATAAGTAATGAGGTGATGGGAGAAATTTTTCAAAAACAAATTAAATTAATAAAAAAAAAATTCAATCAATATCAACTTTTGTCTTGATCATAATAATAGGATGGGATATGAACCAAAAATATCATCTATAGTATGAATAGAGAAAATAGTTCAGTTGTGGAGACGACTGAGACGTTTAAAATTAAATGAAAAAAAAATCATTTTTGTGAAACACAATTGACAATTATGTTGAATATTTTGCATGTTGCCAATGTTATACGCTAAATTGTATACTCTCCTATTTATTTGCGATGAAGTAACTTTAATATAATGTGAAATGAAGAGAGTATTACTTTATATTATTTTAAGTTTTTCATTTACTACATATGTTTATTTTTTAAGTGTTAAAGACAAGCTAATACAACAGCAAATTAGGTTATAGGAAGTTAAAATACGAAGTATGACAAATCTCATTAGTTACTTACAGTGATAGACTAGACTAGTGCCTACTGCCTCCAGTATGAATTGAAGACTTGGTGGAATATACTGGGTCCGAGTTGCGAACATGCGTCACTTCTCTATATAGATGCATTATAATGCTAAGCATACCCCTTTCTATATTAGGTAATATCCAAGTCATGTTTAATTTTTTGTGATTATATATATTTGTGATTATATTAATGCTCGTTTGGTAAACATAGAAATAAATGGGAAATGAAATCTACTAAAAAGTAAAAGAATGAAAAGTTATTTGATTGACAAAACTATCTACTTATTTATACCCTATTTTCTTAATATGCACGTCGTAGTATGTTGCAATTAAAATAAAGTAGAGGAATTACGAAGTATACTTTTAAAATAAGTAGAAAATATCCTTGAATGCACCTTACACTTGAGTTTATATAATTTTTTTTTACCATTTATCTAGTTGCACATGTAAGACTTGCTCTTCTTTCTGTTCTTTTTATCAGCTTCGTTCTAAGTATCACAAAAGTCAGTTGACTCAGCAGTTAGCTAAAATAGAATTCAAAGACGAAAATTAGAATATGAGACTTTAGTTGAAAACTAGGTTAAGTCTCGTGCCATGCACGGTCATAACTAAAGTTTACAACAAATAAATTACAAATAATGGTGGTAATTCAACGATAATTTATCTAAAAATAATACTTGTAACAAAATAGCTTGAATATAAATTTATACCAATACCAAATACGTAAAGGTTATTGAATTTGATTGTATAAAATATTAATAGAAATTTAGAAGCTATAAAGTTTTATATAAGAGAATGAAAATATTAGCTTAGGTTAGTACCCACAAACTCCTATACGTCCATTTGCCCTTATATTTTATTGACACACTTTGACTGGCATTATATGAAATTTAGTTGATTTTATTTTTACTTTAGGATAATTAATATTCCGTAATCAACTTTTTTAAATTTATTTTTAGTGAGTAGGACATGAATGTATAAAGTAATTAGATTGAATTTTTCAATATATGTTATGTATGCTATAACAAAATGATTTTGTTCGGTTATTATATTCTAATAAAAGTTATGTATAATTTTAAGATTTACCCAAAGTATGCTATTGGAGAATTTTTTTTGATAATATTAGAATAATCTTGGATAATAATATATTCCAATACCCTATTTTTAATCTATGTTAGTATTTTTGTAACTAAAATTTTCCTAGTATATAAGGTAGAATATATGTAAAAAAAAAAGTAATTGAGTATAATTGAATTAAATTTGTTATCAAAATGAAAATAAGTATTTTTTTAGGTTATAAAATGGATGTCATTAAAATTTGGGGAAAAAAAAAACAGAAAGAAAAAAAGGGCGGGAAAATTTTTAACTAGAAAATGACAAGTGTCATTTCTGGTTTCGCCTTTAGTATATATAGTTATTGATAGATATATGCTGTAAAATACAGTAACTCACAAAAATATTCAGATGGTATATGATTTTACACCAATAGTGTTGTTCATCTGTTACAATCACCTCGGTCGTATAGGGGACTATGAAAAACTGACGTCCCTGATATACATATTCTTCAAAGAATGGTACCCAACAAAGATGGGTAAATTTACAGCTAATGCTCTAAAAGAACCCATAATAATCAAATCACTAGCCATATAATCTAACCTTTCTAACTACAATTAAATGAATTACGCTGTACATTATCAATAATCTATGTGTAATGAAGCCATCAAATACCTCACTAGCTCCCTGTTAGAGTTTTGTGTATTTCCTGACTAGTCACAACATTGAGCATACTAGCTTCTATTGCTCTCCTCTGGCAGAATCATTAAGAGATTTGTGAATTGATGGCCCTTGGGTTAGGCTATGAATAGATTGCTCATTTCACGGTGCCAAATTTCCGAGGGGACAGCTGCACATGGTGGTCAGGGTCCTTCGCACGACCATTCATCTTCGACTTTTCATTCTCAGCTTCCTTCTCTGCCTTTTTCTTCTCAAACTCAAGCTGTTTGCAGTTCTCATCATGTGCACGATGGAACATCCTAACAAAGTTCTGTAAGGTTGACACAACTGCAGCCAAAACGTCAATTAATAAATACTTGAGTGGCTCTTAGTATTGCAGACAAAGTGGCCAAAAGACCAAAAAAAAAAAATCATAATCACATTTAAATGATTTTTTTTTTTTTTTGGCCCTTCAAAGATACATTATTAGCAAGTGTGGATCTGTACCTTGTTCAAATGGAACCTTTGCAGGATCTTCACCAAAATACATAGCCAAAGCATCAGCATTTCTACCCTGAAAACATATATCATAAGGGTTTAATTACAATATCGTATGAAACCAGAGAAATTCAGCTAAGGCCTATGTAAGCTTTTTTCAGCATGAAAAAGAGTAGCCATAATAAGTCACCACTAGTTGAATGAATGAACACCAATTGGCCCTTCAAAAAGAGCAGCAATTTCACTACATGGTTGTATCAGCTAATGGAGGTAGCTACAATATACTTCGTAGTGTTCTAGCAAGAAAGCAGAGATCATATTCCATTCCCTGAATAGCCAAAAACCTTAGTTCGAAACATCTATTCTCATAAATCTCATTCTATTAACATGAAAAAACAAAATGCTAGTCCTTTTACCATGGAAACAAGTATCATGAAAAAAATATTCATACAAGTTTGCATAAGATAATGTTTTTCCTCTCCTTTTTATCCCCTACTACTCTTTTAAAACTTGTAAATTTTATTTGTATACTCTTTCTCTTTTTACTTTACACACTTTTTTTCCAGCTTTTAATCAATTGATTATTTGCTATACTCATTTTCCTTCTCGGACATTTCCTTATGATGATTCATGTTCGCCGACCCCAAATCATTTTTGACTAAGGCTTTGACGTTGTTGTTGTTGCTGCTGTTGTTATTGCTGTTGTATAAGTTCACATAAGAGCTACTCAAGTTCAACTCAAAACTAAAAATGAGATCGATCAATAAATCCATATAAGCTTCGATAAGTTCAAAAGAATGAAGCCTCAAGGAACAATATAAACATACCACGATAGAATAAAGCGACGCTAAGGACCTCACTTCACCTTCCGCGTAAGAAAGAAACCCCTTCAAGATCTGTTCAAAATGAAGTTAAAAAGAACTTGAAAAGATAATTAAATAAAAAACTTTGTAAATCACTATGTTCAGCAGTTGAGAATCTTCAGATGTCTTGAGATTTTGAGAGCACATAACATTTTTAGCTTATTCGCACACTAATCAAATCAAGCAGGTCAACTTTGGCTGGCGCTTGAGGATTTATTCACATTGTCACTAAAAACAAAGGACTATTGAATCTCTATAGAATGCAAATAAAGTGACAAAGATAAATTTTCTTAGAACATAATCCAGGATAACAGGACAGCAATTTAAATTTAAATTTAAATTTGTCATTAGGGCATAGTGGCAAATTAAGAGCATGATAAGTGTGACGTAATTATGTGGTTTATGTGATCTTTACAGCAATTGATGTTCATATTCCCAAGACAACACACTAAAACAGTGAAACAGGGTATATAGTTTTTGGTGAACTGTAACTTAAGCATGATGATTCGGAAACAAACTTTCTTTCTTCAAAAGAGATCAGTGACCATCAGTCAATGAATTATAGTTATATGTTGATTCTCATCACCTGCCCCTGTGGCTCTCTAAACACCAAAAAAAAAAAAACAATAGACTAATCTGCACAGGAGAGAGGATACAAATCTGCAAAGATAATGCAGGAAATCAATACAGTCTATACAGACCCCCGAACATACAAACATATTCTATAAGATAGTGAGAGAATGAGAGAGGAATAATTTCCGAGTTAATTACAGGGGTATTTGTGAATGTTCAGTAAAGAAGTTAGTTAGGTATCTGAGTTTTGTGT